ATTGTCTCTGTAGATTCTGTATTCCTCTAGGTCTTTCTTTTTTGTGAGCTGTGAGCCAGGAAACAGTACAGATCTTCCCTTCCATTTTCTGCATTTTTTGTCTCTTCAGTTCTTCTGTAGGCATCAGTTTTCTCATCATACCTGTCCTTGGTCCTGAGGGTCCACCTTCCTCCTTTTTTCTCTAAAGTTGTTATTTTCCAGTGCCTGGATTTCAAGTCTTTGGGGAGGCTATGTTGTTGCTTATCATTCTGCCATTTTCATGGAAGTCATATTTTTTTAAAGTTCCTTTTTCATGTTAGTGTAGTTCCTTTAAAAGTTGGTAGAACAGATAATTGAAAATGTTGTTCAGGTGCAATGTAAGAAATTTTATTTATCTCACTTGTTTTTGTGAAGAAGGGAAAAATTTCCAAGTGCCTTATGAGCACAGTAATACTTTTAAGATAAAAACAGGTTCTAAGTTGAGTACTGACATATTTTGTTTTAATATTTATTTCAAGATGTTTTCCAATCAGAATTAGTATGTATGTATAGTTTTATATTAGAGATTTTATTTTTAGTGATTTCTTATTTCAATTTGATGATATATTTGAATTTGAATATCTTAAATTTTTATTCATGTAGTGCTTTTACCAAATATTTTTGGTAAAAATACTGGATAAACTGCATAGACTATTTAATAAATCTAAATAGCCTGATCTTTTGTCTTCCTATTTGTGTTGAGAGTCAGAGAGAAGTACTTTCTCAAGCTTTTATGTTTTGGTCAAGGAGACTACTTTTGGAGATGATTCTCTGACTTTTAATGTTATTTTAATAATTCATCATCTGTTTATGGGGGCACAGCAAGAATGCGGATCAGTATCAGATTTGAAAACTTTCTCATCATGGTCTTGATCAATTGAAATTACTTCATAGATATTTTTCTACTGTCATATTTCACTGACAACTTTTAGAATTAGGAGATACAGTCATATAAGAATAACTATTAGATTATACTGAAAAATGCTTATCATATAGTGTGATTCATTTGCTGCCTTTTCATATTTTGTTTATGTCTCAAAGTTCCTTGTACATATATGAAATTCTTTTTGTTCACACCTTCCCTTAGTTAACTCATTTAGTTTCATGGCTTTGAGTTTCAGCTGTGAATTGATGACTCCCAAACTTATTCTCATCTTGACGTAGCTGTTACCGGCAGACTTGTTTATTCAACTGTGTACTATAAATATGACATAGATATCTACTAGGAATTTCAAAATCAACATATTAAAAGTTGACTAGCTCAATGGCTGTTCTTTACAAGTATCACTTCATGGTATAAGTAGCAAGGGCAAGAATGTGTTAAATAAAGTAGTTGCTTTATGGCCAAATTACATGTGTGTATCATTATAATCCTGTCATTATAATCCTTATATCCTTATAATCACTATAATCCTGTATCATTCAGTTGGAAATCAGGGAAGACTGAGGTCCCACATCCCTTGACAGCATGCTGTCCTATAGACGATTAAGGAGTTCTTACTAGGTACTAACTCAGAAAGGTTCTGTCAGCTTCCAATAAAACCCTGGGAAGAAAATTTTAACATATCAATCTTTGTAGGATATTTAACATTCAAACCATAACACCATCTAAACAAATGACAGCTGGATGCTTCTAACTGTTCAGGATAATCATCCCTAACTTTTGTCTTTTTCCCCATATCTGATCCTCTCAGCTAGTCATATTGGTGCTATCAAATTATTTACATGATAAATTAATCATGACCAGTTCTCATGATTACTATCATTACTATCCTATTTTAAGCCACTGTAATCTCAGGCCTACATTATTCAAACAGTTTTCTAACTGCTCTTTCCTTCTCTCTTCCCTGCCCTAGTCTAGCCTCTGCCCAGCAGCAAAGTTGGTTTTAAAATGGAAGTTAAATCATGTCACTGGTGTTCAGAATGCTCAGTGGCTTCCAATTTCAGAATTAAAACCAATTTGCAATGATCCATGAAGCAAACGTTTTATTTTTGGTATCATCTCCTTCTACTTGATTTCCCTGTCGACTCTGCTTTAGCTGCTGTCTTCTATGTTTTTTTTTTTTTTTTTTTTTTTGTAATAAATGGGCTTGATACTTGCTGTCTCTAGAATGGTGTTCTTAGGAAATCACATGGCTGTTACACCACTTTTTAAGCAACTTGTGCAAATATTACTTTCTCAAGAAGACTTTCTCTGACCACCTTACCTCTATATTTAGAACTATAACAGTCTCATCACCCTGTATCAACCCTTTCCTGTTTCACTTTGTCCATAGTAATAGTTACCATTTGATGTTCTTTATAGGTTAATTAATAGTATATTAATGTAATTAAGGGTATCTTTCTGGTTTCTTTTCTTGTTATGAAATTGAAATACAATGAGTGTTATATATTATGTGGTAGTTACCTCTGAATGGTGAAATTATGTGTATATATATATATATATATATATATATATATATATAAACAGGAATTGAAGTCAGGACCTTATACTTGCCAGGCAGGAATTTGTGCCACTGGGCACAAATTTGTGCCCTGGCCCCATTTTTCTATGTATTCTAAATTTTCTGTAAGAGATACACATACACACACACACACACACACTTTGCGAAACAATCCTCAAGTGATTTTTTTGTTTCAAATAGTCCAATTAACGCATATTATTGTGTGTGATGTTTTTCTGATTGAAAAGGCACTTTAAGTGTAATACAGTAATAATGTTTCTTCAAGCTTAATAATTATACTATTTCATAGTTAATTTTATCATTCCTGTAGTTCAGAGATCAGCAGATCTACTGTCCAGATGGTAAACAGTTTAGACTTTGAAGATTGTGCAATCTCTGTAGTAATTGCTTAACTCTGTTCTTGTGCAAAAGCAGCCAGAGACAGCCAGCTGGGTTTTATGTGGGGTTCATAATCTGTGGATTCCTTCTAAAGACTTTCTAATGCAAGCTTCTTTATCACAGGAATGAAAATATGATACACATGCTACCTAAGCCTTGACTTCTTAAACATACATCAGTTATTAATAAATGATGTTAGTAATTTTAATGCATTGCTGTAGTCTTTGAAAATGAGTGTTTACAAATCAGAAAACTAGGGAAAAGACTCATAAAACCCATAATGAATACTTGATTTTTTTCTAACTCTATGTATCTTTTTTCATAATTTTTATCTCAATGGAAAATGTTCAATATATCCATTTGAGTTTATAAAAACTCAGCAGTATACCAGAGACCTTGTTATCACTTTATCACTTATTCTTGATTCCTGGAAATCAGGAATCCTTTAACATTTCCTTTCTCTATGAATATCTTCTGAGGATATACAAAATGTTGAGAATCACAGACTAAGAAGCCTACATGATAAAAGCCATATCCTTTACATTGCAAACTTAAGTATATTTTTCTGAAAACACACAAACCAATATTTGACCTAATTTTTCCACCAAAATGTTTTAAAATTTGATTTTTTATTTATAAACTTACAATTTTTAAAATTTTTATTAACATATATTTGTGTTGCACAATGATTACATTCCTTGTTGAGATTTTGTGTACATACACAGAATGTCTTGATTCTTTACTCATCACCATCCTCTTTTGTTCTATCTTTTGGTCCCTTTCCCATTTATAAAAAAAAAATCTATCTCCCTATTTCTTATTGATCTTTTATTTTGCTCTGTATTTATATTTTTGGATTCTCATGTAAGAGAAACCTTGTGCTACTTAAGCTTGCATGTCTTGATTTATTTCATTTAACATTATGGTGTCAGAGTGCATCCATTTTCCTACAGATGACTTAACTTTTTTCCTTTTTTGGCAGAGTAGTATTCCATCAGATACAAACACTGTATTTTTTTTTTAATCCAGGCATCTCTTGATGGACTTAATAGGCTTATTCTAAGATGTAGTTATTATGAACTGTATTACTATAACCATGTGTAGGCATGCATCACTGTAATATGTGTCTTTAACTTTTTTGGGAAGATACCCAGAAGCGGCATTGTTCGGTTGAATGACCCGAACTTTCTTTCTTTCTTTCTTCCTCTCTTCTTTTCTTTTCTTTTCTTTTTTTTCTTTTCTCTTCTTTTCTTTTCTTTTCTTTTCTCTTCGCTTCTCTTCTCTTCTCTTCTCTTCTCTTCTCTTCTCTTCTCTTCTCTTCTCTTCTCTTCTCTTCTTTTCTTTTCTTTTCTTTTCTGTCTGTTTGATCCAGTCTTGCCTTGCAGTTCAGAGTGATCTTTAGCTCACTTTTTAGCCCAGGCTGGTCGTGAACTCTATAAATGAACCTCTTGCTTCGGCCTCCATGCGCCACCATGCCCAGCTTATTGTTTGATTTCTTGATGATAGGCATTGTTTCTGTAGTAAGATGGAATCTCAGTGTTGCTTTAATTTGCACTTCTTTAATGACCAGAGATGTCAAACATTTTTTCATGTATTTATGGGCCATTTGTACTTCTAAGAAGTATCTATTTTAGCTGGCCATTTTTAAATTTTATTTAGGTGTCTAACTGTATGAATTCTTTAAACTTACATATTTAAAAAAGACAAAATGAATGCCTTACTTCATTGAAGTTCATTTTTAAAAATATTAAATCTCAAGCACTTAAGTGTTATTTGCCTAATCATTGATTTTAGATTTAGTTCTAATGCTGTTTGCATGTAAAGTAAAACATTTCTGTTGTGTAGAAGTTTGTAATTAGCATACTTTGCACAATTTAACTAGCAAGAAATAAGAGTTTATTCTTTAGTAAAAGTGATTAAATAGTCTTGAAGTATATGAAATTATTTTAAAGTTCTTATTTTTTAACACTAAAATGTTTTATCCTAACTTCCATGACATTTTATTTTATAGTTTTTGGTATTTTAAATTGTTATGAGGTTTTCATTAATTTTAGAAATTTAAATAAAAAGTCCTTCAAAACTGAAATTCTTAAATTGAAAATGTGCTATGTTTGAACTTAATCAGATTTTTTTTTAAAGTTTTGTCCATCAACTAAAGGCACAACAAGATACCTCACTTCTACTGGTGCTGATGGAACAATCTGTTTCTGGCAATGGCATGTAAAAACAATGAAGTTTAGGTAAGTTTAAAAGAATTGAGAATTTTTTTGAAATGTCAAGTTTATTTTTATTTATTACTTTCATTCTTTTTATTTATTTTGTTTGTTTGTTTTTGAGACAGGCTCTCAGTATATCATGCAGGCTATCCTTGATCTAGGCTGGCTTCAAACTAATGACAATCCTCCTACCTCTGCCTCCCAAGTGCTGGGATTACAGATGTGCACCACCCACACCTACTTTTTTTTGTCTTCAGTATTAACACAAATTTAAATATATATATTTGTGTTCATTTACATACTTTAAGCAATGGTATGAGTTTACTGAATAAACCTTTGATGAATTCTTTTGAAGAGATAATTCATATGGACATTTTTGGTATAAAGTTTCATTTCTGACTTGGTAAGGACTCTGAACTTCTTGTAATGGTAACATGGTAATATGTTTGTAAGACTATAATAACAATATGGATATATATATTTGCATTTGCTGGATTCTTAATCTGAATGATGGGAATAGTAGTTGTTAGTACAGCATTCATTGGCAACCTCTAGTAGTATATTTTCTATAATACTAATGCTAAGTCTGGTCATACCCACTAGAAGGTTAAAATTCTTGCCAAAAAAGCTAATTGCAGTGGCATACACTTTTAGTCCCAGCTATTGGAAACCTGAGGTAGGAGGATCCCAATAATTCAAGACCCAGCCTGGACAGTATAATAAGATTCCCATCGCAAAGATTCTTACCCATTGGATGAGCATGATAAAAAATAAAAATACCTTTTTTTTTCTCTTTAGAGATCGCCCAGTGAAATTTACTGAGAGATCCAGACCTGGTGTTCAGATATCTTGCTCATCTTTTAGTTCTGGTATGTAGAAAAATTAAATTTAAAATTATAAATGATGTTAGGCTTTAATTTTATGAAGAAAAAATGTATATGCTTGAATATAAGGGAAGAATATCAAACATGTGAAAAATAAGCTAGAGTTGGATGAACCTTTATGGACTCTAATTAAAATGTAATAATGGTTGAATTTTTGTATTATTCACATTTTGATGTAATTATATATTGCATATTTTATTTTTTAGAAAAACCAAACTCCAACGCTAAATGCATATTAATAAACATGCATGACACTCTCAATGTAACACAAACACCTTGCCCTAATTTTATATAAAATATGTAGTTGTACCTACAAACAGAAAATGCTTTCATAGTGTGTAAACAGGGCTTTTTATATAGCTATGAATCTTAAACTGTTAACTTTTTCTCATTTTTTCATTGCAAAATACAACTAAAAATTTACCACTTAAACTATTTCTACCTGACTGTGGCATTAATAAGCATATTTACATTGTTCATCATTATCACTGCCATCATCTTTTTAGCTTTTTCCTCAACCAAAAGGCAAATGAACTTTTACAGTCAGCCACTAAAGCTATTAAAGGAATATTAGAAATACAAATCTATAATAAATAATTTTAGGGCATTATGGTTTTTAAAAATATATAAAGAATTTAATTGTTCAAGAATGTGACTATTAATGTTTATGATCCATAAGCCTGTACTGAATGTGTAGTTGATAGATTTTGTTAGGTGAATGAAACAGTCCTCCTAAATATTTCTGTTTTTTTTTTAACTTTCTTCTTTTCCTTTGAATATTAGTGTATTCTTAATAGTTGAATATTAGTATATTCTTAATAGTTACAAAACAACCTTAAATTTCGTGAATCATTTTTACTAATACATGGTTGTATACAACTAAAAAGCAACTGCAGATTTTTAAAACTCTTTGATACTATGTTATTGTTTAATCTTCTAGGTGGCATGTTCATTACAACAGGTAGCACTGACCATGTGATTAGAATTTATTATTTGGGTTCTGAAATCCCAGAGAAAATTGCTGAATTAGAATCACATACGGTAGGTATTAAATGGAAAATTTAAATGTGTTGCCTTAATTTCCTCTGAAAAATTGCTTTCATTTTTTCTTTGCTGTCTGTGCATTGTTATAACATAGATTGTTACTACTACAGGTTTTATGCTAAGATGTTTAGTAATGAAGATAAATTTGAAATTCTGCATTTATTATGATTATTTTGTAAGTTCTATTTGAATGACTATGCAGGAGAAAAATCTATGAAAGTTTTATATTTACTCTATCAATAATTTATGGAGCTTCTTTTTTAGCTTCTTATATTTTATTACTTATGAGCTTTTTTACATAAAATCTACATATTTAGTAGAGGTCTTATTAAATATGTCTTAGGACAGAATTATTTTTACAGAATTCGGGTTATTTATCTTAGGAGTATTAGTTTTAAAATATCATCTAAGATTTGCAGAATCCCCTATTCCTTAGTTAACTGTATCAGTTTTATACACAAAGAATGAGGTACATAACTTGAGGGAAAGCCATTGATGGGTAACCCTTGTTTTCTTTGTCTGTCATTACTCTCTGTTTTAGGAGTCTTGACCTACTGTAATTTAGTTATATCCTTGCACACTTTTCATGTAGCTCTTCCTTCCTTTTTTCCCCCCAGCTTTTTGAAACAGAGTCTCACTGTGTGTTCAACCTGGCCTTGAGCTTACTTTGTACCCCCGGCTGGTCTTGAACTTGCAATGTTTGTCCTGCCTCAGTCTCCTAATTGCTGAGATAACAGGTGTGCACCACCACACCCAGTTTCTTTAAAATACTAATTTAGTATGTTTTATGGGAATGTCTTTGTTTGGCTTTGTTTGGGAATGTCATGGCTCTGTTCAAGTCATACTGCCTTTTAAGCTGTTTTGTAAGCAAACAGTGAACTTTTATGAATCTTAATGTTACTGTCCTTATTTCATTGTGTATCTCATTTGTGATAATATTAGTGTGCATGAATAACACGCACACATTGTTTCTGAAAGATGACTTAAAAATGATTTATGATTTACAATCAGTGGTACTCCTGAAATTTGTAGTAAAAGAGACCCCTGTTGAAAACCTGAAGTTGGGTGAAGTAGCACATCCCTGTAATCCCAGCATTTGGGAGGTCAAGGCAGCAGGATTGTGAGATTGAAACCAGTCTAGGCTATATTGGGAGAACTGTTCTCAAAAAAGGAAACAAGATGAAAAAAGGAAAAGTAATACTAGTAAGCATTAAACCTTCTTCTGTGAGCTTTTTAGAGTTTATTGCTTTTTATTCTAACATACAAACATAATTCAGCATTTTCCTTAAAAAGATTTACTGAGCCCAGCAGAACTTACATCTTGCTGTTGTTTATTCCTACATAATAATGTCCTGTAATATTTAAGTTTTAGAAGAGCAAAACTTAGAAAGTATTTGAAGTTCGCCAATTGAGATCATTAAGTAAAGGAAATCATTTATCCTTAAACATGCCAAGGAAGTATCTTTGTAGTTGATACCCAAGTAGGGTGTAGTACATAAGTGTAGTCAAGTTTATTGAGACATAGGAGAAGAAAAAAATAAATGAATGCAGAAGAATTAAGAATGAAAATTGTGAAGAAAATTTGACTCACTAGTTTTATTTGTAGGGAGTCCAACTAAGGAAGAAAAGTCTGAAAAAAGTACACCCTATTGCAATCAGTGAAGGTTGTTAGTCACTCATTAATATGGTCTTTCAGAACATTTAACATTTAAAACAATTGTAATTGGCAGTGAGAACTTCAAATTTATTTAACAGATAAATAACAGTGAAACCACGAGACAGTATGAACCCGAGACCTGTGAATGTATGATGACAGTCTAATAATTTTAAAAATAAAAAATAAAGACATTTGATATTAGCTTTTTATTAAATTTAAGTGGAGTTCAATAACTGGGTGTTTTGAGAAATTATGCACATTTGGGAATGTATTTAACCTTTACTTTCCAAGAATAAAGCAACATGTGAATTGCAGCTTATCCTTTAATTTTGTCCTTACTGATGCTAATAAGTTTGAAATAGAAGTATCTAAACTATAGTACCAACAAAATGTTGCATTAATCTAATTAAAAATACATTATGTGAAAAATAATTGATCGTGTTCCAAAATTAAGGTGTAAATTTCATTTTACTGTTAATAAATAAGTGTAAAGGTGGTGCTCTCTTATGGAAGACATAATAAACTTCTATCTATTCAGAACTATGTGTCTCTTGAAATATGAATGATAGGAAAGTTTGCTTATGTCTGGTTTATTTCAAATTACTACTTCCTTAGCTAGCACATTTTAAAAGACTTCATTGATTATTCTTTTAAGAAAAGCCTAGGTGTTTTCAAGAAAATCATAACATTAAAAAAATCTACTCCATGGTGCATTTGCCTGTGAGTTTGAAGGAATGAGTGCTGTACTTATTCTACAAATAATTTCATTTTAACTGAAAATTTGTTATTTTATGTCTTAGGACAAAGTTGTTGCTGTTCAGTTCTGTAACAATGGAGACAGGTAATTATGTTATATATACTTATTTAAACAGATATTTGAAGTTTTTCTGCTGTTTCCTTGAAGCTGACTGCCTGTAATATAGTTATCTTATTTCTCTCTATTCACATATGTTTAAAACCCTTGTCTGTCTTTGATGACACTTTCATTCATCTCTTATAAATTCTTAAGTAGTAATCTTATCTTCTAGTTATATCTACCATATCATAAGTATCAGTTCTTCTTTACTGAATCTCTTTTTTATTTTATTCTTTTCATTTCTTTTACCACGCACCTTAGTCAAGAATTCCACTGTGCAAACTGTTTATCTCTGCCAGATCAATGTTGTTGTGTTTAAAAATCTTTAGTATTTCCTTTTGTGTCTCTCTGAAATAGAATTCCAGTTTTTATATATGGCATTCAACAATCTCTGCAGTTTAAATTCACATTTTCTTCCCATCTACTATTTTCCTTATGAATTCATAGACCCAAGCATAAATGATTTGTGTGCTGTACCTGTCATGTCCCATGTGTTTATCTTATCCACCCTTCGAGGATTTTCTTTTAGCAGTGCTAGGGATCAAACTAAGGGATTCATGTACACTAGTCAGGCACTCTATTGCTGAGCCATATTCCCACACCACTTTCTCATTTTCTTCTATGTCTTTCTCCTCTCTTTTTCCTTTATTTATTCTGTTCTCTCATCCCTTTTTATCTAAGTCCTATCTTCTTTTTCGGGTTAATATCATACTGAAGCCTTTTCTTGAGCGCTCCAGCTTTATTTATCTTTACTTCCTTTGAATATTTGTATCACTTACTCTACTGTTCATATGATATGTATTCTTGTGTCTGTAGACTTACCTACACAGACAACTGTGAATTCTCTAAAATGTCTCTTTCAAAAAAGGTGATAAGTTTTCCTGTTCTAAATTTTGACCCAGAATGGATTTAAAATTTTAATCACTTAGCTTAATTTTGTATCTATGTGCATAAAAACTTCATGTTGGTAACTGCTTTATTTTAAGTTTGTATTGGGCTATGAGTGATTGCAATGATAAGAATTTATTTATCTTCATTAAATGGAAGAGTGACTAAAGTTAAATGATGGTTTACAGAATGATATCTACATTAAGAATGATAAAATCTTCAAGACTTTTAAGATTGACTTAACTGTATTGAATTATATACTTTAAGACTTGTGTGTCTGCTTTTTTTTAAAACTAAAGGATTAGGAATTTCAGGAGAAACGTTTTCTTAATTGCGTGACCAATTAACATATCACAGTATGTCTAATTTAAACTAAATACAACAGTAACCATAGAAGAATGTGTATATGTGTGTATAGACATGTATGTATAGAGGTTTCTAGCTTGCTTTTTCCAGACTAGAATAAATCTGTATCAAAACCTTCCAAACACTGCACAAATAAGCAAAATAAACTGAAATATTCATGCTTATAGGGTATAAAAATAAGCCTAAATATTTCAGAATTCAACATAAATTTCACTTCTGCTAAAGTACTTACTGAGATAACTCTTTGTATTTGTTTTTGAATATGTGTTTGAAAAGCGTTTATTTTAAATATGCAAAAATAAATGCAGTAAGTATCAGCCATGCTGAATTTCCAGTAAATATCAAAAAGGTAAAAATATCAAGAAGGTATAAAATTTTATAAAAGCATATGGAAGCTTCAAAATACGTAATGTATACATGCATATGTGGGAAAAACCAAAGTATTAGCATTAAATTTCTTGATAAGGTAAGGCTGTAGATGATGTTCCTTTTTGTTCATGCTCAAAACTCTTTGTACTTATTTCTGGTATACAGATAAATAATTCATACTCATTAAAGAGATGTCAGAGAAATTTCAATTCCAAAATTCTTTTTCCACTCAGAATGAAAAGATAGTGAAAAAATTTAATACTCAGTATTTCCAATGGTTTGGGGAAAATATACACGTTCCTGAAACTTTTCATGAGATTATAAATTGTCTAAAAATATTTAAGGGAAACGATTTGGCAGTATATATCAAAAACTTTAAAAATGTGCCTACTCTGACTCAAAAGATATGTACAGACATAAAAAGAGGAAGTGTAGAGATGTTCATTACAGCATCATTTAAAGACTGAGAACTATGTGCTTACTAACCATTAGATTGAATAAATTCTGATATGTCCATATAGTTGAACACTTATAAAAAGTGGTGATACTTTCATATTTATTAACCATAGAAATAGATGCACAAAATACTTTAAAGCCCAGGAAAAGTTTTATATGTAGTATAGTTCTGTTTCTTTTAGGGGAAAATTGTAATTATTTATGAATGTTTAAGCCTGAAAGAAGAGAAACTAGACAATGATCAAATTGTGGATAAATGTGTATATTACATTTAAATAGCACTTTTATTCAGATATAATTCACATAAAATTAATTGGTTAAATATTTTGTGAGGTTATGCAACTATTACCACAGTAACTTTGAGAACATTTTCATTATTCCTTAAGGCCTGTACCAGTGATGGCAAAACTTTTAGAGCTTTCAGCGTTACAAGCAGCACAACCATTTAACCTGCTTGTCTTTTTCTTGTTCTGTGCAATCGTTACTCTAGGTCTTTATATTTAATTTTGTTCAAGATCCATAATTACTGCCATGTGTATCACTATTTTGTTCTTTTTATTATAGAATAATATTCCATTGTATGGATGGATATATAACATTGTTTGTCCATTTATTCATTCATAGACACAAATTTGTGTTTCTACTTTCTGGTTATTAATGAGTAAGCTGCCATGAAATTAAGGCACATTATTTTATCTGTATTTATGCTTTCATTTCCTTTGGATATGTAGCTAGGAATAGGGTTGCTGGGTCATACGGTAAATTTATGTTTGGCTTTTTTTGAGGAACTACTAAACTGTTTCCCAAAGTGATTACATTACCTTATATTTTCCCCAGTTATGTATAAAGGTCATATTCTTTTTATAATCAGAAAAAAGTGATTTTCGTTTTGGAGAAAAGTAACTAAGGCAATTTTTAAATTTTCCTTTTTAGTTTAAGATTTGTTAGTGGAAGTAGAGATGGAACAGCAAGAATCTGGCAATATGAGCAACAAGAATGGAAGAGTATAGTACTAGATATGGCTACTAAAATGAGTAGGTAAGAATGGATATTAGACATTTCAGTGGTTCTCATATGATTTACTATCTTTTTACATTGAATTATATTTTATAATAAACATACAATGTTTTTATATTAGTAAGGAGTTGAAGTTAATCAGTAGATAAGAAGTTTGTATCTGTATTCAGTCTCTAAGTAAAGTATGTTTTGCTCTTGTTTGGTAGAATGGAACATTGATTAATGACTTCCCCAAAATTTTCTTCTGTTATAACCCTAAGATTTCTGTTTTACTGATTCCCATATAATCATTTTTTTGCTTTAGTTTTCCATAGGTCATGTTTTCTATTTTTCTATACCCATTTTTACTTTGGTGGTTGTCCCTATTAAGTACTATCATTTTTTCTTTAATTTTATTGAGAATTCCTTTATTTTATTTCGTTACCATTTCTACTGAGAATTGTATGTACACTTAAGCAGCATAATGTTTTGTCATCTTCACTGCTAAATAGATGATACATAATTATCTCTTAGATAATACAAATTTTTGGTTTCATCTTTAAATTACTTTCTTATGAATAACAATTTAGAACTGACCTGGTAGTCATAGACAACTGTTACTAATATTGTATTCAGTTAAATCAAAAGTTACTGAATGTCCAACTGCTTTTAGAAGAATTAACTAGCTTTTTGAAAAATTAAAATTTAAGAGGATAAAATGCCAATTATGCATTTTCATATTTTCTGATAAGCAACATAACTTCATATTCTATTTTTCAAGCTATGTGCAGATTTATTTCTAGGTTTTTTTATATATTCAAATGACTGTTTACCTACCCCATTTTTGTCACATTAAGGTTTTTTTACTACAGAAATGAGGTCATGGTTTTTGTCATGTAGGTACTTTTTTATACCTTGCATAGTTAAATGTATAGTTTAGTGGATTTTTATTTAAAAAGTTACATTATATCATAATTTGCTATTTTTGTATATTATTAAAAATTTGTGAGGTATGAATATTGCAAATTGTTTCTTTTAGGAATAATTTGCCATCTGGTGAAGACAAAATCACTAAATTAAAGGTGACTATGGTAGCCTGGGATCGCTATGACACTACAGTTATTACTGCAGTGAACAATTTTCTTTTGAAAGTTTGGAATTCTATCACAGGGCAGCTTCTTCATTCTTTATCCGTAAGTATTTAATTTTTAGAGTGATTAAATTGGTCAAGAACTGAAGGTGTGGCTCAGTGGTAGTGCTTACCTAGCATGCATGAGGCCCTGAGTTTCATCCATAGAACTGCCAAAAAACCAAAAAAATCTCCATGTTGGGTGTGCTGTGCTATGGTTACATATACCTGTAGTCTTATCACTCAGGAAGCTGAGATGGATTGATCCCTTGAGCCCAGTTCTAGATTACCGTACACAAAACTTATAAAAGATCAAAAAGCACTTTATTTCAAGAGGTCTAAAATTTAATTTGAGGTTCCTCTCTATGATTTACTGATTTCTGAAGAAATAATTATTTAAGGTCCATTACTGCAAAATAGGACTGACATAAAGTATATCACTAAAAACAGATAAGATATCTTTTCAAGATCATTTCCAAATCTAATACAGGATTTATTAATATATTGTAAGCAAATAAAATATATGTTAATTTCTTTTTAACAAGGTTTAGGGTTTCTCACTGTTCATGTTTAAGTATTCTGTCTACTGTATGCTACTTTTAGTGGTTAGATTATAGAATAAGTAGAGGTAACAGTAAGAAGTAGAAAAAAGTGCTTTTAGTTTTAAAAAATGTATTTGTCTTTGTAAGATGCTGCAATGTTTGTTTTTTGAAAAGCTGATAGGATCACTGTAATCATGTGACGTTGATATTTGTCAGTTTAATTGGATATGAATTGGCTCTAGATTATATTGTGTTTATTTTGTTTTATTTGTGTGTGTGTGTGTCTTTGTGTTTGCAACAGGGTCTCGCTATGCCGTCAGGCTAGCATTGAGCTCACTTTTTAGCCCAGGCTGGTTTCAAACTTGCAGTTATCCTCCTACTTCAGCCTCCTGAGTGCTGGGATTACAGGCATGAGCCAACTTGCCCAGCTATATATTCTGTTTAAAATCCTTAATTCCTATCTGCTTAATTATCAATTTACAAGCATTTCAAGAGAAAGCGAAGTGAGTGTCATATGGCTTATGCATTACTAAGTGATAGAGTTCAGAATAGAAATTCACTCAGTTTTCTTTGTAGAATACCATTATTTCATTTTTTTTGGTACCTGGGTTGATGTCATCTTTATAGAGAAAATCTTAGCCTAAAGCTTGTGAAATTTCTAAATATGTGTTCAGTTTTAGGAGAATTTTGAATTTATCATTTCTATACTTCTCCAGTCATTTTTCCTACCAAAACACCAACCACTATTAGTGAAGTTTTAAATTCTTCCTTTTATTTCCTGAGCTAATGCTTATCTCATTCTGACTTTCCCTATTTCCTAATACAAGTTTCTTTTTACATGTTTGAAGAAGTATGTACTACTTACTTGACTCTTTTATTAGAAAATATTTGTCTACATCAACACACACCAGTGGAAATATAAACCACATACATAATATTATTTTTCTAATGGCCATCATCAAGTAAAACCTAAGTTTAATAGCTTATTCAATCTGATATATATATATATATATATATATATATATATATATATATATATATATTTAAAATACTAGTATGTCCACATGTAGTTATTATGGAAATTATTGATGAAACATAGTTTTTCATGCTAAATCTTTGAAACATGGCATGTATTTTACAGCGACAGAACCACTATATTTGATATAGTCACTTTTCAAATGTTCAATTAGCTACATGCGACCAACAGCTATACTACTAGACCATGTCTATCTTTAAAAAAAATCACAATATCTAGGACCATTATACCTATTAGTTTTATAAATCTGTGTGAATTCTTAATAAGTTTCTTAATTTAAGAGTTATATTTAGGGGCTGGGGATTTAGTTCAGCGGCATAAGTGCCTGTTTTGCTAGCAGGCAGTCGTGAGTTCGATCCCTGGTACCGATTAAAAAAAAAGAGTTGTATTTAATGCTTCTCTTCTAAGGGGCTGACTTTTGAGTTCTGTTTTCACTAAATTTTAACTAAAGAAATTTTAGAACAAGCATTTAGTCACTGATAGACAAATCTACTTAGGTTTGGTATAGTATTAACATTTCAATTATAACAGTTTGACATATGAGGGTCTTTATAGTGAGTAAAGTTTTCCTATTTGACAACTGTTTTTGAGCATCATTTCTGTATGTTACACAGTGATAAACATTAGGAATAAAAGGTAAATTGAACACTCTCATCCTGCTAGAATTTGTAGCCTATTAAGCTGTAAAAATTTTTGATCAGATAAGTTAAAAATGAAAGCACAAGTTACATAAATAAGGATAGGCTTCTAACAGATGACTGAAATATGTTCTGGAAAAGTTGAAGAAAGCTTCCTGAGGAAATGAACTTTGAATTAAAATTTGAAAGGTAAGTTAAAAATTTGCCAGGTCACAATTTAAGTCCCCTCCTTGATTAGGCTTTCCCTTATCAAATAATTCAAGATAGCCCACGAGTCTTTTTTTTAATATATTGTCTTGCTTTCTTTTTATCACTGTCTGTGATACTTAGTGTTTTCCTGTTACTTTTATTGTTTCTTTGTTTGTTTGCAGTTTTTAGGACATGGTGGTAGGTTGTCACTGTACAGTGGGAGAATTCATACATATGAGAGGATTATTAGATACTTCCAAGGATATAATCTTCATGTATAAAGGTCATGAGGTGAAAGGGAGCTGAGAGAAAGATAAGTTGGCCATAGGACAGAGAGCAGAAATTCATACCCGATAAGATGGGGAAGTAGATAGGAGCCAAACCATTCAGGCTTTCTAGTTTGTATTCTTCACCCAAAGGAAATCATTAGATTGTTCAAAGCAGAAAAAGTATGACTTATTTTGATTTGTTTGTGTTTACAAACAAGTTTGTATTTTAAAAATTTAGTAATTTTGACTGTAGCCGAGAGAGTAGTTTGAGGTAGATAAGAAGAGTAACTGCGGGGCTGGGGGTTTAGCTCAGCGGCATAAGCACCTGCCTTGCAAGCAGGCGGTCGTGAGTTCGATCCCCGGTACCGATAAAAATGAAAAAGACAAAAAAAAAAAAAAAAAAAAAAAAGAAGAGTAACTGCAGATAGATTGTAAGAGTCTTGTGATAATAGCGAGGATGAGCCATAAAAATAATTTAGATTTGTATGCTGATGGTAAATAGAAGTGTGCTTAATAAATATAAAAATGGCAGATGATAAATTTTAGGACATTATGATTTTGAGTAGCTTTTATTCCTCATGATCCAGTGACTGTCCTAGGGCATGTGCACGCAGCAGAAAATTCTATTTAAAGGACCTTTTCCAAAACTCAGAGTACACTGAATTACTTAACATCTTTGTTACTTGAAGTAACAGTGATTTTATGTTTTACTGGTTAGGAAACAAAATATTAGCTATAGTAAACCAATTCTTGAGCAAGGGACTTTGCTACATATAGAAATATCATAGAAAGCAATTATTTATTAGTGGAACATGGAAATAGAAAGATGGTTTTATAACTTTTGAGTAGCTCTGTTATTGCAATGAGATTTTATCTACTTTCCTTAATACTTATTTTGAGCCAGTCTGTGGTTATTTTTAATAGGTCATATTTTTGTCCATAATGGTAACATGATGGGATACTCTTTTTCATTTGTGATTGTTTAAAACTCTTTTTCTTCTTTATTAGTATATTTGTAGTGTATAATAAATACATTTGTTGTGGGAAATTGGTACATATACATCTGTATATTAATCTTTTACTTCTTTTTCTCATCTTTCCCTCCTATCTCCTCTTATTCCCAGTACCCCTTTTCCATCTCCACAAAGTCTGTTTCTCTGTTTATTATCATTATCTTTTTATTTTACTCCTTAAGTAATTTATAGTTCCATTTCTCATAAAAGAGAAATCATGTGATATTTAACCTTCTGTGTCTGATTTATTTCATTTAGTATTACGCTTTTAAGGTACATCTGTTTTCCTCCAGATGATTCAAAGTTATCTTTCTTTATAGTTGAGTATTACTTCATTGTGCATGTATAGATATCAGTTTCTTTACGCATTCTTTTGATAGACATATAACCTGCTTCAAAGATTTATCTGTTGCAATTTTTCCTGCTGTAAATGTACGTATGCATGTATCAATGTAATATAGACTCTTGGGAAGATACCTAGCCAGAAGTATAGTTGGGTCAAATGGAATCTATAGTTTAGTTTTCTGCAGAATCACCATACTGACTACATTACTACCAATAATATAAAAAGATTCCTTTTCCCTCACAAACTTGCCAGCCTTTGTGTTTTTGAGTCTTGATGATAGCCATTTTTTCTTGAGTAAATAAAATCTCTATGTTATGATTGTATTTCTCTAATGACCAAAGTTGCCAAAGACTTTTTTATGTACCCATTGGCGTTTTTTACTTCTTATGAGATGTTTATTCATTTCATTTGCCCATGTTTTGGTTGTTCTTTTATTTTTTAAAATCCAATTATTTGAAGTTCTTTTTGTCACATAATCTTTGCTGTTTTATTTTGTGTTTTATGTTGGTTTGAAAACCCTTATTAAAACATTCTTAGTTTTACAAGCTCTGTATTGACCTTATCTGGAAGCCATTTTGTCTTAAAAACTCCTGGCCTAAGGTCTGTATAATCTGTTGAAAAGAAAGCATATAACATAGAGTGTAGTTGTTCAAAATTATTTTTCTTAGCAGGAAAACTGTTTTTCAATTAACATGTTAAATGGAGCTTCCAAGTCTAAAACAGATATTTATAGCAGAACCTCTGAGCTGTTTCTTTCAATGTATCATGAGGTTACCCAAAAAGAATTTGAATACCAGTGGTAGAGAATGCTAAAGAACAATGGTTTGTCTGTTACTGTTGTGGCAGGAAGGAACTTCATGGAAGGATTCTGTTTTTGTATTTCTCTGTGGCTTTTTTAAATAGCAGAATCCTAGAACTCTAAATTGTATTTCAAAGACCTGTTTAATAAGCTCTAAATACTTTTTTGGGTATTCTATTTGTTGTATAATTTGTAAAATCAACTGTTGTACATTTAAAGAACACTAATTGAAGTTCATCTAGTGTCCATGTAGCAAATACTGTGAACTTGAGATGCCTGAATTCATCTAAAATTGATAGCATGCTCAGGACTTTTTGGATTAAAAAACCCAGATATTTTGTTTTGCTTTTCATTTTTAATATTGATTTTATCACAGGGACATGATGATGAAGTATTTGTTTTGGAAGCCCATCCATTTGATCAAAGAATCTTACTTTCAGCGGGTCATGATGGGAACATTTTTATTTGGGACCTTGACCGTGGGACCAAAATTCGGAACTATTTTAATATGGTAAGATAATTTGTGTTTAATTGACATTAAAACTGACTTCTCTTGGAGAATAATTAGATATTCAATGTACACCTAATACAAAGGAACGTCTTAAATTAGTAAAAGAATTCACAGAACAGCCCAAGGTCTGAGAATTAGGTCCTTCAGAGTAGTTGTCTTAGTATGGTATCAGCATTTTCCCAGTTGTGGTCCTCAGCTCTAAAGTTTATAAACTCAAATTTAATCATTGTGGATTTTACCAAAATCACTGAAGAGTAATGCGTAAATTGTTTCCTTAATCTATGAATAGCAAAAATTATTGCAATACTTGTATCTGCCTCTATACCCCACATGGCTTAGTAATTAGAAGTTGATTGGCAAACAGATTTGGAGATATGGTTGCTCTTAAGATACATTGCATATAAATTATAGGAACCACTGATGAGCTATCTCTCTCCCATAGAATATCCTTCTCTGGTGATTGAGGTAACTAATATTCTCCATATTTGGTGTCCTTCTGTTAGTAGTTTTGACTAAACATCTATAAACTGTTGTTTTGCTTTTGCACTTACTTCTAGAAACTTTATACAGATACAAAGCATTAATAGTACCATTTTTGTTAGTAAAATTAATTTGAGTGTTTCAATTTACAGTGGTTATTTTAAGCCTTAATGGCATTACAGTTTAAGATCTGAAGATAGTATCTTGACTTTGCTGAGTTAGTACCTTTATTCAATCGCATGTAAGTGTTTTAAATCTCCTTAGTCACTCATTTAGTATTATACAAAGTGAGATGTTGCTAGCAACAATAGATTAAATGCATTACAAATCAGTTCTCCCCAATTTTACTCTAAACCTTACCAATTCAATAGATTTCTGGCTCTGGAAGTCAGAGTACTTTGAAAAGTTGATGAATCACAGAATCCAAAGTATTAGCAAGAAGAAGTTATCACCTACATAGTTTTTTTTTTTAAATTATTCTGAAAATGACCTAAAAAGACTCGTAAATTTCAGATTGAAGGCCAAGGCCATGGTGCAGTGTTTGACTGTAAATTCTCACCCGATGGGAACCATTTTGCCTGCACAGATTCTCATGGACATTTGCTAGTTTTTGGTTTTGGATGCAGTAAATACTATGAAAAGGTTAGTATATTTAACTTTTGTTGTAGACTGCAATTTGGTATTGTATCATTCACAATTTTCAAGTCTTTTGAGTTAATAAGGATTGTTTTATGTCAGTAGATATAAAATTAAAAGTTGTCTTTCTCCACAAAATTTCATTTATCATTGCCACAACATCCAGCATGGTGATGTGTATCACAATGAATAACATGGTAATGAGAGAATAAAAATTTATTGCGAAATGATGTTGCTTAGAACAACTGCTGTCCAAGTATAATAGAAGTACCTCAACTATAATGTATCCTATTTATGATAAGTTGGGAATAAATAGCTAGTGACTGAATTTCCATTTTCTTGATTGGCCATTTTAATATCAAAATATCTTTGGATGCTACGTTAATTGGTTCTTTTATCTTATTTGCTGTGGATTTGGGATAGATTATAGCATTTAGTATTGGAAGGAAACTCAGAAGTCCTGAGGTCAGTTCATTATAGTTTGAGCTTTTAATGTCACTGATGTGATTGATTTTTACCTGTTTCATCATGTATATTGTACTTTATCCTCATTTGAATGAAAATTAGACAAAGTTATATAGATTTGTATAATTTTTGTAACAAAATTACCTAACTGTATATTATATTATTGCTTTACTTCTTCCTATCATGATTAGATAAATATGATATAGGACCAAATATATTACAGATTGTAGAGATTTATACAATTATCTTTGCTTGGAAGATTCCAAGTCTCAGACCATCTTGGACAACCTAGTGAAACCCTACGACAAAATAAAAAATAGAAAAGGCTAGGGATATAATACCATGGTACAATGTTCCTGAGTTCGATTTCTAGTATAGTAATAAAACAGAAACAAAAAATAAGTACCATCCAAGTTAGTTTACTTCTACCAAAATACAATGTATGTCAGTGCAGGACTACAAGGGAATTTAAGAATTGTGAGATTCAAAATCTTATTTGCTTGTGGAATGAAGATAAGTGCCTAAAATATAAATTGCCTGAATTTGTTAAATATACAAACTCTGTCAAAAAGATTCCAGATCAGATGTTTTTCCATACGGACTATCGACCTCTTATCCGCGATGCCAATAATTATGTATTAGATGAACAAACACAGCAAGCTCCTCATCTCATGCCCCCTCCATTCTTGGTGGATGTTGATGGAAATCCTCATCCAACAAAATTTCAGCGCCTAGTACCAGGACGGGAAAATTGTAAAGATGAACAACTTATACCACAGCTGGGATACGTGGCTAATGGTATGTTATCTTTAAATATAAATTTAAAACATTATACAAAACATTACACTTGCTGCTTTTCTATGTTTGGTCCTCCCTTAACTCTGGAGCAGATTATAATGTATTAGCTACTATTTCTTTTAGTTTTCAGTGTCATAGTACTTTTACCATACGAGACTACTTTTTCATTGTTTTTCTCTACTGGAAATAGGTAAGAAAATTAGAACAAACACAAGCATGCACTCAAGCAGAGAATATGTTGATATGCTTCCTTAAGAAACCTTATAATAATATATATTACCTTGTTATTCCGTATACTGATTGCTATTAATGATTAAACTAACTTTAATACATAAAGCTTTTATAATTGGTGAAATTTCAAATGCTCATAGTATTAGTATTTTAGTCTGAAACTTCCTAGTTAATGCACATAAGAAGAGGGAACATCATAAACCACAAACTGGAACATAGTTATTACCCATTCTTATACTTGAAATATAATTTGATACTGGATTTTACAAAAGTGGATATAAGCATTTAAAGTTTAATCTCAGAGGATATTGAGGAAGCAGAGATGAATGTCAAGTATGATGGGAAGTAGTATATGAAATACTGGAGTAAGCTATTCTCTATCAAGGCTCTATCAAGGTCTCTATCAAGACCAAAATGACTTGGTCTCTTTAGATTGATATACTTGTTTTAGTTTGGTGTATTTACACTATGTGTACTGCCATGTACAGTGTCTTCAGATATTGGGATACTGAGTTATTGATTTGTAAATGGAATCTTATTTCTTTTCTAGAGAATTAATGACTTGAATTGATCTTCATAGAGTGAAATGATGTACATTGTTATATGTTCTGTCTTATAAAAGTTTGTAGAGCAATGAGCCAGTAGTGTATATGTATTAGTTTTTACTGTTATGATGTCAATTATCAGCTGAGGAGAAAGTCAATATCAAAACTAAAAACATCTCAATAAAACTAATGTATCTACTTCCCATCTTATCTGATCATGTGGTTAAACTATGAGATACAATTTGATCTGACAGGACAAGATGAAAAAGAGAGATAGGATATGAAAATCATTTTATGTAACTGACCCTCAAGTGCAGCATGGAGGAAATGTATTGTAAAATAAATTAATTAATAGTTATTCACTCAGATGAGAATATTTTCATATAATGTCTAATTTACGGACATTGCTTAAATCAAAATACATAAACTAAAACATTAAAACATTAAAAAATTCTTCATAAAAATTTTAATATATATTTTATTTTCATTTTGAGTCTACTTTTATTTATTTCTCTCAAATTTATAGATTAAGTTTTTTAAATATATGTAGAATATACTAAATGAATTCAATTTTGTGCCTTTTGGTCTTATTAAGGTGATGGTGAGGTGGTAGAACAAGTAATTGGACAGCAAACCAATGACCAAGATGAGAGCATTCTTGATGGGATAATTAGGGAGCTACAGAGAGAACAAGATCTGAGACTAACCAACCAAGGAGATCTTCCAAATTTTCCAATTAATAGATCATACTCTGTTAACAGTGGTAAGTATTTATATATTTATGATAGATATAATTATACCTTATTTTATTTATACTGAGAAATTATATGTGAAAAACAGCTTTAAAAATGAAAACATTTTATTAACAACTGTGATACATATTCCAGATTGCCATAATCACATTAGCATTTGTAAATAAAATGACTTAGCATTTAAGAAATGGAGGTTGTGTACTACTACTTTATTTCAACTCAAGTAGTCTTTATTTCCATTTCAAGAAATGAAATGTTATAGTAAGTCTAGCACTTTGGTAGTAGAATCAACCTGTAAAATCTTCAAAATTAAAACCAGTTTACTTTTATTTAGAAGCTAAATCACCTCTCCCCCTGCCACCAGTTGATGCTTTGTAGAAAGAAAATTGCATACCGCACTGCTCTCTTTAATTTAAAAAAAAATGTTCTGGAAGAAAATAAGCCCTCTTCTTAGGAATAGAGATGTAATTTGGATAGTAGTTTGATGTAAGTAATAGTGGAATTTACTGTATAATTTATTACTCTTTTAAAATGCATATTATAACCTATTTTGTATCTTCCTTCACTTTACGTAAAATATGATTGCCTAGGCATGTGGGTTTTATATAAATTTTAACATGTACCAGTTTTTTGTCAATACCTATTAAATTTACTAAAATGCGAATATGGGAAATTTACATTTTTCCTTTTTTGTTTACTTAATTGTAATTTATTTGAGTGAAATGGCATTTGGAATTGCATGGAAGTGAATAAGGTAATTTAATTTGAGGTGATTTTCAGAATATTTTGTTTATTTCTTCATTTTATAGTATCCCATAAAATTTAAATGAAATGGTTTTTCATTTAGGTCACTTGGAACACCTAACTCAGAGATGCTTTCCTGAACCTGGAGCAAGACACAAATAGCCTGATAATCTTATATATTCAGGCCCTTTTTTTCTAAGACCTAAAACATTCTTAAAGCCCCGAATTACACATCCATTAATAAAATCATTATTTGATTTTACCTTTAACACTTTTTCTGTGGATAGATTTGAAATACCATTAGTCAAAAGGACCCTACTAACCATATTTGCAATAGTTTTTATTTTTCTAGTCTTTATTTTGTAGTAAAATCTTTCAGTTTGAATTTGAATTTTATTTGCAAAGAACGGACAAGTAAATTAACAAGAAATTTTCTAGAGGACAAAAATAAAAATGTTCTGTTTTTCATTGTTCATTAGCATTGAAAATTTTTAATGTGAAAATTTTGTTATACTTTTTATCTATTTTTGAAAGTTTTACCCTGGTATATTCTAATGGAGTAAACAATAATATAATTTAGATTATAAAGCTGCTTCCTGAACTGTGAAGATCTCATATCATATTTGAATACATTATTGTCGTTAGTATTCAGTAAATATCAGATGTTGAAGTGCTTTTTAAAAAATTAAAACAATATTAAGGGTTCTGTTGAGAAATCTGTCCTTTCAGGATTTGTGCTTACAAGTGATTTGGCACTTCTCTCTAACAGCTGTTAATACTTTTTTGTTTTGAATTTGTAACATTCTGATTATCATGTGCTATGGGTAAGGACATAGAAACATTTAAACTGCTGGAGGAAATATTTGAAGCTGTAGGCACAGGCGGAGACTTCCTTGAGAGGCACTCCAAAAGCAAAGGAAATAATCTCAAGAATTAACAAAGGGCATTACATTGAACTAAAGCTTCTTTGTATCAAGGTAACAACAGATTGAAGAGACAGCCGACTGAACAAGGAAAAATATTTGCTTGGTACACTTTTGATAGAGGATTAATACCTAGATCAAATAAAGAACTCAAAATTACCCACCCCACTCCCAAGAGAATCTAATCAAAAAATGGGCACGGGAACTGAATACATGTCAAAAAATTATGAAGTTGGATATGGTGTTGCAAGTCTGCAGTTCTATCCCTCTTAGACTCTGATGCAGAAGAATGGCAAGATCAGTCTACTCTAGGCATATTAATGATTTTTAGCTAGACCCTGTCTCTAAATACCTCTGGGAATGTAGTCCAGTGGAAAGACCCTGAATTCAGTCCCCAGTACTGCATGTGTGCATGTGCATACACACACACACACACACACACACACACACACACACACAGAGAAAGTACAAATGGTCAGAAGTTTGAAAAAGTGTTCAACATCTAGCCATCAGAGAAATGCAAATTAAAACTATTTTGGTACTCCGTTTCACCCCTGTCAAAATAGCTATCAGTGAGAATACAAAAAGGAAATGCTAGCCAGGATTTGCGAGTAGGGGGAAAGAGTCCTCATAGATTGTTAGTGGGAGTGTAAACTGGTATAGCCACTGTGAAAATCAGTGTGGAAATTCTTAGAAAAAAAAACCAGAAAGTCATTTGATCTACCTCTACTACTACTGAAAGAATTAAAATCTACACACTATAATGCTATGTACATATCATGTTTCTGGCTGTATAATTCGTAGTAGCTGAGCTGTAGAAATAGCCTGGGTCTCCATAAACATGAGATTAGGTACGCTATAAAAGAAAGTGAAATAATGCAATTTGCAGGAAAATAAATTAAATTTGAAACCATTATGTTAAGTGAAACAAGCTAGAGTCAGAAAGCTAAATATATATTTTCTATATATGGGGAATTTCAAATGTATATAACATTCATATGTACACATATAAAAATAGAGGTTAGAGGACACCAGAGAGTGGAGTTTTAGATACAGGGAAGGGAGTAAGTATGTGGGGAAAAAGAGGAAAGGAGGGGTATTGGGACTGAATGATCAACATTTTCAACAGATGTACTAATTTTCTGAAACAAACCCCACCAATCAGATGTGTGAAAATTTTATCTTGGTGTAGGAATCTGTTAAAAATAAAAGCCATAAATCTATACGGTCAATTAAAAAATAGAGGGAAAAAAGCCACCACTCACTATTGCATCATGTACTAAAAACATATATGTATATGTACATGATATGTACTAAAAAATATATAAATACTCATCTAGAATCAGTGATTGCCATTTACTAATTTATCATCAAAAATCCATACATTGAAGTGTCCTCACTATTTTGAGTTCTAGTTTAGCAAAAGCAAAAAACTGAGATTTGTTACCTGTGTGGTAGTGTTGCTGAAAGCTACTTTAATTGCTTTGTCAACAATGAAACTTACCTGGAAGGAATGATACAAGTTGGTGGCATTTATGATTGGACCGCATTCTGTTTTTCAGTTCATCTCCTATTGGGTTTCATTTTAAGTTAGCTTGGGGATTTTAATCAGTCACTTTTCAACAGTTCCTATATATATGCTTCTGAGTTTTCAACTTTTTCCCAAAATTGGGACCCTGTTTTATTTATCACTGTACCTCCAGCACACATCCAAGTGACTGCCATATACATGGAACTCCTACAAATAAATGTTTGTTGCTTGATAAGGTAAAAGAGCTATAAAAATTTTAAATATTTATTACTTTATTTGTAATACATTAAGTGACTTAGAGGTAACAGAAAACGTAGAACAGACTTGAAACTGTCCTGTCCCTGAATCGCCTACTTTATTTAGAGCTCTGATGTAAAAGACTAATGCCTTTGCTCAGAAAGCTCTATGTTTTTGTTTCTATTTTAGCTCTGAGAAGTCCAAATATGGATATATCTTCCCCAAATATTGGGCTTCGACGTAGTGGTCAAATTGAAGGGGTTCGGCAAATGCACAACAATGCTCCTCGTAGCCAGATAGCCACTGAACGAGATCTCATGGCATGGAGCAGAAGAGTAGTAGTCAATGAATTAAATAATGGAGTTAGTAGGTGAGTATATAAGGTAACATTCATAAGAAATTTAAAGATACATTTTTTAATAAGTAAATTAAATTGGCTTGAGTTAAGCCTAGTTTTTTTTTATATTGCTCTAATTAGTTCACTGCATTATAAATTTGGTTTGTCCAACTTTGTGCTAAATGCTTTGAGAAATATTGAAAATGCGAAGCATAATTTATATTCAGCTGGATATTGAAACCTTTTGGGAGTACAGTGTAGATAGATACTAAACCTGACTGTTAGAGACTATTTAGAAATAGACTTCACTGGAGAAAAGTATTTCATTATTGAAAATCATAGACCTAGAATCCCTATTATTATTTTAAAGCCTTAAGGTTTTCTATAATACAAATTTTAGATAATCTATAACAATTTGAAATGGATTTAGAAAACAGACAATAATAAAGAAAATGTATGATTCATTTCAGTTATATAGCTCCCTGACCAAGTAGCAAAATTCCATTTGCTTTTATCTGTCCTTTCTTCTTTTTGTCATATGCAGAGTGTAATAAGGACCAAGAAACGTAGCTCATCAGTATAGCACATGCCTGGAAAGCACAAAGTCCTGAGTTCCATTCCTAGCACACATGTGTGTAAATATCTCAGGTGTCCATCAGCAGATGAATAGATAAACGAAATATGGTATTTCCATACAATGGAATATTATTCAGCCATAAAAATGAAGTTATCATACCTGCTGTAAGATGAATTACATCAAAAAATATCATGCTAAGTGAAAGATGTTGAACATAAAAATGGAAATGTTGTATTAATTCCTCTTACATAAAGTATCTAGAGTAGGCAAACTCATAGACATATCATAATTTAGAGATTATTAGACTAAAGTTAGTGGGGGAAATGTAAAGTTATTGCTTAATGATTATAAAGTTTATATTTGAAGCTAGGAAAAGTTTGTAGAAATTTAGTACTAATGGTCACACAGCATTATGGATTTAATTAATATAGCTAAATGGTTAAAATGGCAATTTTATATTTGAAAGATTTTTTTTATATTTTTAACTATTAGTTTCAGTTTTAATGATTTTCTGTTTCTTTCACTTTGGATTTTTTTCTTTTGTCAGGTTACAGGAAGAATGTCGAATTGCAAAAGGTGACATGGAAATCAGTCTTTATACAGTTGAAAAGAAGAAAAAGCCATCATATACTATCCAAAGGGTAATTTAGTTTTTCAGCACTCTAGGGTACACTATTTACAAATATTTGTGAATACTAGGTATTTGAAAATCACAAGTTATTTAAAATGAGACTTTTAATAATTTTCTGCTTATAAGGAAATTTTCTGCTTATAGTTGAGTAATATGGTTATTATTAATAAAAATCAAATTAGAAAATCAAACCTGTCCCCCAAAATTTGGGACATAAATAATTTGATAAACTATAGCCTATAGTCCATATCCTGCATACCTTTTCTTTCTGTTAATTAAACTTTATTCAAAATAGTCATACTTACTGATTTATATCTTGCTTATAGCTACTTTTATGTTATCAGCACAGAGTTCAGTATTTGCAAAAAATTTTACTCCTTGCAGAGCCAAAAATACACTGGTCCTTTAAAGAAAGTGTGCTGACAATTGCTGTATACCTTTTATTAAGCAACCTCAGGCCTAGCTAATCATGTAACAGCAAAATCTGATGTATAGTAGTTTAGCAAGTACAGGATTCATCTTCCTAGTGGAAAACTCCCTAAGTGATACAAAGGCCTGTACCCCATTAGGGTACTTGATAAGCTCTTGTTTAATACTTTCAGATTCACTAGAATAAGGGCATAATCTATTGAGTTCCTTTCCTCCACCAATTCCAGTTATAACTTCTGTAGTGTATGGTAACTCTGAAAGTATAGAATGATTTTGATTTTATTGAAGAAATTTAGGTGATGGACCTTGAATTGTAAGTTATTTTCAATATGAACAAAATTCAGGGAATTATTGTATGAATGTCTCCAAATATTCATAGGTGACTTTGTTTGCTATAAAAACTTTTAATGTGGTTTTTTGTTAGTTTATCTGTTCTTCTCTAAAGGGCTAATTTTCAGAGCTTTTGAATGACTCAGATATATGATTTCTATTCTTTCCTACTAAGCAGGTTTATCAAACATTAGAACTTTCTGCAAATAGTACACAAGTGCTTAGGACTGTAGACATTTTTGTATCTTTTGAAAATGAGAAAAATTTCCAAACAAGAAGCTGGTCCTTCGTGCTGAGTTATAAGTCTTACACTTATTTACTCCTGATAATATATTTGGATTATGGCTTTGCCATATAGCATACTAATAATAATGTTTTATTTTAAGAAAAAAGTATTTTTCACTTTAAATTTGGCTGTTCAAGTTAAATCTTTTATTAAGCAAGTTAAATATTTTATTAAGAAGAATGTCTCTCCTAACATTCTTCTGGGGGGAAGGGTGAGCCAAATTGATCCTAAAAATGTTTTTTAATTCTTAAGAATCTTATTACAGTTGGGTATGAGTGACTTACTGAAACTGTCTCAAAATAAAAATGAGAATTGGGCTGAAGAGGTAGCTCAATATGAAGGCCCTGGGCTCAAAGAAAAAAAAAAAAAAAGCATCTATTGATACTAATGTAGAATGAGATAAAATATAGGTAGTTAAATTATATTTTAAAAATTTAATACATTTCCCTAGATTTTTATGGACCTAAATATGTGCATATTAAGGATTATGTTTACATGAATATTATGTAGAGATTACTTTCATCCTGTAATAAGTGTGAATAATATGGTATAGGAAAATTCTGAATGGACAAAATCTTGCAACCCAGACATACAGAACAGTCTTTAATTTGATGACGAAGTTTTCAAATTAGGAAAATCATAAATATAAGTAGAAAGAGGGTTTTGTATATGTGTGCATATATGTGTGTTTGTGGTTAGATAATGGTTTTCTTTTTAACAATGTATCTTCGTCTTCTCTCTCACCTACTTATTTTATATATATTTAGGTTTTATGTATTCAATGACCTTTTTATTAATTTTCTAAAAAAGTATATTCTTTCTCTTTTACAGAATGATTATCAGCCTAGCTGTGGTAGGTCTTTACGTAGAACACAACGCAAACGACAGCATACTTATCAAACTCGGTCTAACATCGATCATAATTCACAAGCAACCTGTCAAAATTCTGGTGTACAAGATGATTTGGAAAGCTCCTCAGAGGTTAGATAACTTTTGTCATTTAAACAACATAGTTCTTTGTTTCCTAGTTTGTATTATCCATTTGGTTTTACTTTAAAGGCCTATTTAATGATGTACAACTATTTTAAAAATTTACGTATGAGAGATTTATTCATGAGTAAAGCAATAGACAAATAAAGGTTTAGTTAGCTCACTGTTCGTGGAGGTTTCAGTCTATAATCAGTGGGCTCTAGGACTGTGTGGTATGGCACCAGGGCAACCAAGGCAGCTGCCAGCAAAAGCAGACAAATCAAAAGAGAGGAAGAGTAAGGCTCTTTTCCCTCTATTGTTCACAGCCCACTCCCCTCTCCAGGGTGGGGGTGGCACTCACAAAATATCCTTGCTCTTCTCTTACACAGGAGGAGGATATTTTCAAAATAAGAACCCTGGATCCCTGTTGAGTCTTAGTTAAACTTCTGAACTTCTCAAGTTGGTACAATGTATCAACTATAACATACGTACATACATATATACATTTATTTATTTATTTATTTTTGAGACAGGGTTATACTATGTGGTGAAGGCTGATGTTGAACTTGTATACATAGTCCAGGCTGGCTCAGATTTGTAGCAATCCTCCTGCCTCTACCTCTTTGAGTGCTGGGCTTACAGGTGTATACCATCACACCTGGTTTAAAACCCCACTTCTGAAAACACGAGCTTTCTGGGGTACACTGTTGATCAAAAATATCAAAACTTGTAAATTACTGATTGTTGATTTTTCTAAAATCTATTTCATTTTAAATAATAAAAATATTATCAATTGTTTTCTTCCTATTCCTCTGTTCTCCAATGCTTTTGTTCCATCAACAACTAATTTTTAAGTGCATAACGAAGGATTGACAAAGTACGGTATTCTCATTTGTCTCAGCTGCAGTTGTTAAACCAATTTTCTGCAAAAATATCTCTCCCCCAACCAATCTCCTCCTCTCCATGAATATGTTGATATTAAAAGAATGATCGCATTTATTATTTTTAAAATAAGTTTCAGCATTTTAGAGGATTATACTGTATTTGGGTTTAAGAAATCTTTAAGGTCTTGGAATAATAAAGTTATTTTATATCAGTAAGATAGTATGTATCAGAAATTTTGTATACTTGACAGGTTTACTTATGAGTTACAGATATATTCAGAAAAATAATTTCATAAGTTCTAACTGGATTTTGGGGGGAATGAAAAGTGTTAACAGAACAGATAGTGGGATGATAATAAATATAATAACTAGATAATAATAACAACCATATACTTCAATTGCTGGCTTTTTATTTTAGGAAGATGAAACTGTTGGCACAAGTGATGCTTCTGTAGAGGATCCTGTTATTGAATGGCAAAGTGAAAGTTCTTCCAGGTAGCTTTAATGTTTTTACTTTGGTCAAAATTATTCAATAGTTTTTAATCTGAAATTATGTTTTTGTAGGAATTTAATGTTATAGTTAAAGCTGGGCATGGTGGTGCACACCTGTAATCCCAGCACTGGAGAGGCTAAGGCAGGAGAATTGCTGTGACTTCAAGGCCAGCCTGGGCTACAAAGTGAGCTGAAAGCCAGCCTGAAGCATATAGTGAAACCCTGCCTCAAAAAGACCAAAAGCATTTAATATTGTCTTGTTTTGAAGTCCCATCCAGCTGTAGTACATCTGTTTCCACTGGTTTTAACATGTTGTATCTTACTGTATTTCACTATATGCTATAGTATAGACAAAACTCTTTATAGGCAAATAGATAATATAGAAACCATTGTTTGTTTTCTATTAGCAGGTTCTAAATACCCTGTAATTCTTGCATTCTCTTGAAAGGCTTCACACTGTCTAGATACGCTTGATATTATAGCATGCGAAGTTACACTCAAATAATTTAAGGAAAGAGGCACTATGGCGACTACTGTTATGTTAGATTATCTGGTGGTAAAACACAATGATGCTTGAGTTGCTCGGTTCTGCCCTGCGTTGTTCTATTACAATGTCCTCTCTTATCTCAATCTCCTCCCTATTTTTAAATTAATCTATTTTCTCTCATTTTTTAATTAAGGGAAAACTAAATTAAAAAATAACAGGACATATTATAGTAACTTTTTTGTTGTCCTATTAACCTGACTTGAACCCCAGTATTGCTCTCCCCATCTTGTTCTGTCTGATTATTATATATTCTATTTTGTTTGATAGTATCATGTTTGAGGGTATGGACAGTCACTTTGAGAGCAATAAGATGTACTATGATGCCCAATATGGACTGACTATTATCCTTTTTTTTTGAAGTCCTGTAAGATCCTCAGTGTAGGTTTTATTGGTTTTGTTCTGTACTATTTTGATCAGTTCTATTGTACCTGATGATATAGACAACTCAGTTTAAAAATACCAAGAGGCACAATGGTAACCACTTTGATCACCTGGTATTCTGTTTTTGCATCATGTGCTACGCCCACCCTTCTGTTCTAACTGACTCTGTTTTGCTTAGTCACATTTGGTTTTATTCTCTTCAAAAAAGTAATAAGAGCTGTGAGAGTAATAAAACCCTAAAAGTCTAATTGTTACTGTAAAAAGGAGAGGAAAGTAAGGTGGACTAAGGGATATAACCGCAGGGATGTTCGAGTGTGTAGGATGGAAAACCATATAACTGAGCTTTTGTTGGATCATTGAACGGAACTGTCTCCAATTTCACTGTATGAATGTTCACTTTATATGCTTTAATTTAGCGATATGGACAACTGTTTCTAGGAAGACAATATGTGACCTGTTAACTGGTGATTTCGTACTGTATATATTTTTTTCTAGAAATACTGTTTTATTTGTATCCTTTTACTGCATTGATTTTTTTATATCCTTTCTTTTTTTTCCTTCTCTCTTTAAATAAAAAAAAGACCAAAAGCAAAACAAAACAAAACAAAATAAAAACCTATAGTTAAAATAGTATTTGTCTAGGCATGGTAGCATTTGGCTGTAACCTAGCTACTTGGGATGCTGAGGTAGGAGGCTCTCATGTTCAAGATAGCCTGGGAAGCTTAGCAAAAAACTCTTGTTTTTAAATAAAGATTATATGACTTAATAGGAGTGTCCTTGCCTAGTATGAATCAAATCACGGATTCACTTAACAGTAACACAAAATGTATTGTATTTTACCATAGAAAGAGTACTGGGTTGGAAGTTTAGAGATGTAACATTTTATCCTGGCTATGCCAATGTCTTTTTGATGGCACTATGAACTTTTCAATTCCTTCATGTCTAAGATAAAGATACTTTCTAAATCCAAGATTCTACATCTTGATGTGTAGAGGTAGAGATATGTATGTATATATTTCATTATTTTGGTTTTTAAACAACCCTATTTCGCTATTTCTAGGAATGTAGTACACTTTAATGAAGCTTTTGTGGTTTAGACTGGTGTTTTATACCCTGTTATAGAAGCAAGAAGTATTTCATTAGTCACATAATTAATAAACAATTCTATATTCATGTTTTAATAATCAAAATTCTATATCAATATTTCCTTTTTAAGCTTCATTTATAGTGCTACTTGATCACAAACTGATCATCTTTAGAGTATGAGCTAAAAGTATGCACTCCTATACTTAGATATTCATCATTTTTATTTACAGTGATTCATCAAGTGACTATTCTGATTGGACAGCAGATGCTGGAATAAATTTGCAACCTCCAAAAAGACAAACCAGACAGGCAACACGGAAAATATGCAGCAGCTCTGAGGAAGAGAACTTGAAGTCACCAGAAGAAAGGCAAAAAAAACCTAAGCAGACTAGAAAAAAGGTTTGCAAATGCATAGGTTGTTTTGGTTTTGGCTTTGTTTTTTTGTTTGCTTCTATTTGCCATTAATATTTGAGTATTTGACAGTAACCTTTGACCTCTCTTTGAAAAGCGCATTACACTTGAGAAACCAAGTAAATCAAAGTAGTTTAAATGGATTTCAGTTACAAAGAATATTTGAAATATTTGTCTCAAGTAGAATCTAGAATGTTTTTATCATTATAGTTATTAAATTTAAGCATAATGAAAATTATGTATTAAAATGTAGCAAAACTATAAAATAAAAGTCACAATAAAGCAGAAATTTTATTCTTGTCCTGTTACTCATTATAAATTTCTAACATTTTTGTTTTCAGAATGGAAGAATATAACACATTGTGTGGGGCTCTTTTGTAATTCTTCTTTGCTTTTACTTCATATCATTAGTGGTCTGTGTTTCACACTGTAATTTCATTTAACTGACAAAAAGAATCATTGTAATTCTTTAATTTAAAATTTATCGTCTATACATTCTGTATCCTGTTATTTGGCATAATTATGTTCTTAATGTCACTATTTAACAAATTTATTATGTTAGTAATATATGAGTTCATTAGTAGTCTAGAGATTTTAAAGAGTAAAAGTTGTGGTTTTTAAATGGCATTACAGTGGCATGTTAAAATTAGGATTTTTAGGTGATGTCTTATGTCAGGTTATTATCTGTTGGCCAGTGTGGAGCAACTTGATTTTTTTTATTGGTAGAAAAAGTAGGTATAATTGCTAAAGTGTTTAAAATTTTAGACCTTAGGTTTTCATATAACCTGACATTTTTAACATTCTTGATCTGCTATTTTTAATACTTTTACTCATATTTATATGAGGGAATATATATGCACATATGTAATATAAAATATATAAATAATATATATTATATTTTTATATTTTTATTTTAGAAAGGAGGACTGGTTTCTATGGCAGGTGAACCCAATGAAGAATGGTTTGCCCCTCAGTGGATCTTGGATACCATACCACGTCGTTCTCCATTTGTCCCCCAGATGGGAGATGAGGTAATTGTTACATTTCAAACTTTTTTCTCTTATAACCCTAAGAGCTTTTTTGAATCACTTTCAGTCTTTGGACATTTGAGTTGTTAATTCTGTAACTACAATTCTGTACTATAATAACAGTATGATGCATATACTGTCTGAGCTGTGTTCTCTTATATATGTCTTAAGAATGGTGATTGCATTAATCTTTCTATAATTTTAGGGCCCTGCATAGTGCCTTCAATATAATAGGTGCTCAGTGAACATTGTGAAGATTAAATAGCTTGTTAAGGTGTTAAAATAGTTGACTTGATTCTTTTTAATCTTACTTACCACTTAGGACCTTAGAGTGGCATTTTGAATCCTGATTCAATTCCTAATATTGTTTTAAAAATTACTCAACCTGATAGAAAATTTATAAAATGTATCTTTGCACATCCAGGTTTTGTTCTTGTTGTTGTTATTGTTTTGGTACATGTGATCGAACTGAGGACCTCACACTTGCCAGGCAGGCACTTGTGCCATTGAGATAACTCCTGAACTAAACTGTAACCCTTTTAATGAGGAAGAAAATGTCATTTTGCAAAAAATATTTTTCCTATTGAGTTTGTGATGAATAAATATGTCCATATTTATAATTTGTCAAAATTAATTAAAATCCTACCAAATGCAAAACCTTTTATTTTTTATTGAAATTATTATAACATTGGAACACTTTCTAGTTGGTCTGTGTCGTCTCATAGGGTTACTGGTTCTTAATTTTTCATGGGTCAAATGTTTGCTCATAGTTTTTAATTTAGACTAATAGTAGAAATATAATAGTGTCATTACAGTTAAAAATAGCAAAATATTGCAAACAGGTTCTTAAATTTTGGGACCAAGAAATATTACACAAAAGTTTTGTGTAAGTACCTATTTTTTTTATCTTATGCCGGTGTTAGCTAGTGTGAATAATCTACTATGTGCTGTTTTTTTAGGATATTAATATAGTTTTTATGTGTGTCTTATACATAGACTTTTGAGCAAATTTATAGTTATGTCAATAAATATGCTCTGATTAATGCTTTATTATTCTCTCAGTACATGTGATTGAATAAAGGCTTTTTTACTGAGCTACATTCCTATCTATTTTTAATAAAACAATTAATTAGCTGATTGCTTGACTGGATTGGCTTGGATTGATTTTTGAGATGGAGTTTCACTGACTTTCCCAGGCTGGGTCAAACTTATTGATAGTCATGTCTTACCCTCCCATTTTTCAAAGATTACAGAAGTGCCTCCACCAATCCTGGCATCTTCTTTTTACAACCATTTTTCTCCCTTCATACCTGGAAGCAATTGCTTTACTTCTGTGTTACTAAATTTAGGGTTATTTTGGTCCACAGTTTCAGAGGTTTCAGTCCATGGTCAACTGGCCACAAGACAGAAACATCATGACAGAGGGGCTTGGCATAGGAAAGCCACTCAATTCGTAGCAGCCAAGAAGCTGAGAAAGATGGGAAAAGCCCAAAAGGAAATGTACCCCACTCAAAGCCATGATAGTGACATACTTCCTCTAACTCCTATCTCCTTATAGCACATTCAAGTATGAATTCATCAAAATTCATTGATTAGGTTAGTGCTCCATAATGTGATCATCTTCTAAGAACCTTACCTTGAAATGCATGAACCTTATTGGAGGCATTTTTATCCATTCCATAATAAACATGTCAACTAAGGAATGTTATTATAGAACCCATAAGAGAATAAATGTACTTTTTATGTAATTAATTACTACCCAATTTTTTTCTTTTTTATTGGTGCATATTAGCAAGAGAAAGTGTTGATAGTTCTTTTGGGTAATTGTGTGTAACATACTTGGATCATTTTGTTTTTGTTCCAGTTTTTGTTCTTTTTTTTTTTTTTTTTTTTTTGGTGCTGGAGATTAAACTCATGACCTCATACTTGCTAGCAGGTGCTTATGCCACTGAGCTAAATCCCCAGCCCCACTTGGATCGTTTTGAATCCTTTTATCCCTTCTTCCTTTAAATCTCACTTCATTGATTCCCTCCCCTATGTCTAGAAGTCTATATAATAGTTTCTTGCCATCTCTTCCATATCTCATTTTATCTGTCTGCCTGTCTGTCCATCTGTTTACCTACCTACCTACCTACCTACTTGGTTTCTCATAACAAAAAAAAGATGCAACACTTTACTTGTCAAGTCAGGTTTGTTTCTCTTAAGCCACCCATAAGCCCTAGTTCATATTCTTGCAAATTGCATGTCATTTTTCTTACTTTTTTCATGTGATATATATATATATATATATATGTCTTTTATTTGTTCATCTTTTAATGAGTATCTAAGTTTTATAAACACCTTAGCTCTGTGGTGTGTGCTCCTATAAAACATGGCTATGCGTGTATTACTATGGTATCCTATCTTAAATTCTTTGAGGAATATACCCAGGATTGATATACCTGAATTAAGTCATATTTCTGTATTTAGTTATTTGAGCAATCTCTATATTAATTTCTATAGTGGTTATGTTAGTTTGTATTCCTACCAACAGTATTGGTAGGTTTCTTTCTGCTCCTGGTTTTTTGTCAGAATTCTTTAATTATTTCTATTTTTAAAAGACTAAAAGCAAAACAAAAAAGCGGAACAATACAGATTGAAGTAAAAAATGCAAATAAAACAGGACTTTAAGACAAAACAACAGGAAATCAAAGGTTTCCATAATGTCTCTTGTTTTTTTCAAAATAGTTGTCCATACCTTCACATACAATAAGCTAATACAAATTAAAATAGTTTAAAGGCAATCAAAATAAAAGAATGAGAGAGTTACAAACAAAAGGAAATAATTAATGGCTACCATAATGTAGCCATTCAAAATAGTTGCCCATACCTTCACATACAATAAGTTAATACAAATTGAAATAGTTTAAAGGCAATTAAAATAAAAGAATGAGAGCACTACAAGTCTTCAAAACCAAACAAAAGGAAATCAGTAATGGCTACCATGTCTCTTATTTTCTTCAAAATAGCTGTCCATACCTTCACAAGTAAATTCTTTAGAAGTTCTAGACATAGATAAGTCTATACATGTACATCTATCTTTTCTATATTAGAGGTAAAAACAAAGCAAAACACAACAAACTATAAGAAAAATAAGAAACAAAAGCAAAATACGTAACCATAACAAAGAACCCCAAACAGTAACAATGTAGGCTTTCAAAACAAGGTGGTAGGAACATAACTAAATTTTTTGTTTTGGATAGTTATCTTCAAATGTCTTACTTGAATTACCAAATATAGTCATGCAATATTGGTCTAATCCTATGGATGTAAACTGTTTTGTTCCGAGAACTAATAGAATAGCTAGTACAATCATTTTAGTAATCTTAAATGTATATATACAAATTTGTATCTTTTTTCTTCTCTCTGCCTTTTCTCGTTTTCCCTTTCTGAGTTACTTTTTCCTCTTTGAGCAGTTTTTCACTCTTTCACCATATTTGTTGAAGTTTTTTTTTGTCTCATTTATTCGTTCAGTTTCTTACACTAGGGAGACAATACAGTATTAACAAATGTGAGTTTGATATATTTCACTTATACTTCACTTGTGAATTATTTCACTTATGAATCTATTTACCTATAAAAGCCTCAATGTGCTGCTTATTTACAGCTGAGTAGTATTCCATTATATTAAAACACCACATCTTTTTTATCCATTCCTCAGTTAATGGGCTTTTGGGTTGTCTTCGAGATTTAGCTATTACAAGTTGTGTTGCTACAAACATGGGTAAACATGTATCACCATGGTATGATGTTTTCAGTTCTTCTGGGAATATGCCCATAAGTGGAATAGCTGGGTCAAATGGGACCTAGAATCCCAACTTTTTGAAGAATTTCCACAATTATTTCCACATTGGTTGCACCAGGCTACACGCTTACCAACAGTGCAAGAGAGTTCCTTTTCCCACAGTCTTTCTAGCATTTGTTATTGGTGGTTTTCATGATCTTGGCTATTCTTTCCGAGATGAGATGGAATCTCAGTGAGGTCTTTAATTTGCATTTCTCTAATGACCAATAATGTTGAACAATTTTTCATGTATTTATTTGCCATTTGTATTTCTTCATCTGAGAAGTGTATATTCATCTCAGATGCCCATTTTTGCATTGGTCTTTGAATTTCAGGGGCCTGACTTTTTAAAGATTCTTTGTATGTTCTAGATAGATGTACTTTGTCTGAGACACAGTTGACTAAGATTGTTTTACCAATTAGTGAGTTTTCTTTTTCATGGTGTTAGAGATTTCTTTTGACATGCAAAAACGTTTTAGTAAGACAAGATCGCAGTTGGTAGTTCTGGGAAGTATTTCCCGTGCAGTTTGATTTTTATCCATGATTTCTTTGCCAACCCCTATATCTTCAACATTTCTACCTACTTTTATCTTCCAGCATATTTAGTGTTCTGTTTTAATATTTAGATGTTTTATCCATTTTGACTTTAGTTTATTGCATGATGATAGCATGGATCTAGTTTTAGTTTTCGGCATTTGGAAAGCCAGGTATTTTAGCACCATTTAAATTAAAGAGGCTATCTTTATTTCAGTGAATGTGTTTGGCCCTTTTTTCAAAAATAAGGTGGCTGAGTGTGTTTATAATTTTGATTGTGTCTTCTAATGTATTCCATATCTTCAGGTCTGTTTTTATCCCAGTACTATGCTGATTTTATCACAGTAGCTCTGTAGTATAACTTTAGGTCAGGGATTGTGATGCCTCCTGACTTGCCTTTGTTGCCCAGAATTGGCTTTGCTCTTCTAGGTCTCTTCTGGTTCCAGATGAATTTTAGGAATGAATTCTCTAGGTCTGTGAGGTATGCTAATGGTATTTTGATTAGAATTACATTAAATCTGTATAACAATTCTGGGGAAATGGCAATTTCCACAATATTTGTTCTTTCCCCATGAATAGGGAATGTCTTTCCTTTTTTTGAAATCCTTTTCAACTTCCTTTTTCAGAGCAATGTAATTTTCACTCT